GTAGGCACAAATGACTTCCCCGGCGGAATGGGACACCCTTTTGGTGAGTCAAGCTGAAAACGTGTGTGTTTTTCGTTTAGAAAAAGCAAGAAACACCTGCCGAGCAGCGCGATCATGGAGAGGTTGCTCCATGCTTGTCTGCCTCGGGGCATGCAAAATCCAAATGGCTCTAACATGGGTGTTTCTGAAAACGGAATCACAATTTGGGGCAAACACAGGCAAACAAAAAATACAAGGGGTTCGCCGTTTCACTCGTTTTGTGGGCTAGGTCATGCTTGATCCCTTGATTCATGCATCAGTCTGCACTTCAAGTAAATCATTGCCTGACGATATCCATTCCGACAAGAAAGGGTGCCAACTAAGGGGTTAGGACCAAGAATCAAAACAACACATGCCTCTTTTGTTTCTCTGTTGGCAGAGGCACAACTGGGCTGTTTGGGAACCCGGAGGAAAACAAGAGGCGGAACCCGTAGCCTTCCCGAGGCACCGCGAAAGAAGTCCTTGGACCAACTTCTCTCACATCCAGCGGGTCGAAAACCGCCGATGTTTAGAGCGCCCGTTCGACTGCCTTCCCCCCGCTGCCCTGCACCGTGGCTCTGCAAAAAGCAAAAAATGCACAAGTGGACGAACATGCAGCTGCTTTCGCTAAGAAAAACCGGACGTCCATCTTGATGGGCTCAAGTTGACACATCACGATTAGCAACAGACAAGCTTAATTGCCTAGTTGCTCTGGGAAACATATGCAAGGATCTGTATACATATATATATATATATATCTCAGCCAAATGCCCGCAGGTTGTTTGTTGTTATTGTGTGTGGCGACTTTTCGGTTGTAGACGTGAGTGACTGACATGGGGTCATGGCTTCAACTGCACCCTGCGGTCCAGTCCGATGTCTTGCGACCTCGAACCCCAAGCTTCAAGACTTTGGTCGTTCTGATTTGCCCCGAGGTGTCAAGTACCGTGGATGGAAGAAATTGCGCACCACTTGGACTCTATGGGAACCACTGTTGGTTGGTTCAGTGGTTCCAAAGGAATCATCATTCCACGGCCTCTTCAGTGTAGGATTTCGTCCACAGTAGGACCCCCAACACATACATGGCAACCCGTGCTGGATTCCCTTTGTAGACAACCCCCAAGAATACCGAACCTTAAAAAAACAAGACACGCACACCCAAAGTGAATGGCAACGCGTTTTGGCTTCCCTTGAGACAACCCCCCACAAAGGGTGAGCCTCCAACAACAGACACACACATAGCCTGAATTTCTGAAATACCATAGGCCAAGCTGCGGCCAACGCTGACGGAGCAAAAGAAGGCGCCTGGCGAGCTCGCAACATGTCAGATGTCCAGGTTCAAAGGGTTGGGCTACAGGAAATTCTACAGGACAAACGGCTTGTTTAGGCTGTTTTGGGGCCATTTCCTGTAGATTCTCCTGTAACCCAACCCTTTGACAGCTCGTCTGAACCCCGGATGTAAGTAGAACCCATCCTATTGGGAGCGTGTTCCCTCCAAAAGTGACCCGAATCCCCACTGCAAGGGCTTGCTCCCCATTCATCAACCAGGGGTGTATTAATCTGGCGTCAACGGCATAGGTTGCGGTGTGGATGCTCATGTACCACCAATACAAGCTTGTAAGGCATTGACAAACCCTTACGTAAATGAAATACCTCCATACTTCCAAGCCCCAGAAAATGCCCTTGTCCATGCGTCAATTGGAAGTATCTCACACCAAACCAAAGGCCCAAGCAACCGAGAAAGGACCGAAAGGAACTTTCTGGGGGCGCTAGACTCCCGAAGACCAACGGTCAAGGGCCAGGGGTTGATGAATGTCTTTTGGCCAAATAAGGCCTAGTAAGGCCATAGCCATCGGAAAAGTCTTTGGGGGAGGGGTGTCTGATCGCTTTCTGGTCGTGAGAGGGGCTTCAATGTCTCCCCAGAGGCGATTCGGTAATTACTGAGTCACTTTTACATGCACTTACCCCTTCCTGGCCAGACAGGTATGAGCAAGAGAACGCGTTTTGGGCGCCTTTCCCAGTGGAAAATGAAAAAAGGGGGCATGCACAGAGAAACCGCACCAATGAGGATCCGTGACCTTCACCTTCTGCCGACTCCCCTCCAAATGGGCTGCAGGATACTCTCCAAAAAACCAACAAAGGAGATTACTCCAAGTTAAACCATTGTTGGGTTCCGGTTCCAGGGAAGTAATCAAGCTCGCCTTGTGGCCGCCCGAGAAAACTATTCGATGCCACACAAATGGTAAAACTTTTAGCCATTGGTGGTTTGGATCCGTGGAAAGTTAATCCTTGTTAAAACCAAAGATGCGGGCCAGTCCCCATACTTCCGGGCAGGGTCAGTTGCTGCTTACAATGGAGGTGCCCAAATGCAATCATCAAGATGGGGGTTAGCTCAAGGCATGCCCATATATGAGCCGTGGCCAATCAAGGATAGTTGTTTCCTCAAGAAGACATGGCACATTTGGTCAGTCCCCAAAGTCCGCGCATGTCCCTCTTCAAATGGATCAAAGACACAAACAGGGATGGCCTGTGGACACTTCGTGTGGCATCATTTTCAGGTCTCCGGAGGTACTGCCTGCTGAGATCTGTTCGGAGCTGGGGTTTGGTGTCTCCCGTACCTCCTACCTTCATCCCTTGCTGCCGCGTTCGCCACACAATCCTGTAGCTTTAGTGCGACATGACTGCGCTTGCGCACCCTCCTTTAGCAGACTTCACGTCAACTGCCAATCCGAAGCAGCGTGACCGGAGGCATACGATCAAGCAAGGGGAGCTGAATCTGAACGCGACATGTGTTTGTCTCAAAACGTAGGACGCCATAATGAAGGATATCCTTATGGATTTCATTAAACAAAAGCAATAGAAAAAGGGCACCCACAAAAGAACGCAGCGGAAGAACATGTTCAAATTCAATGCCAGCCAACCATTTGAGCCGAGAACATATGTGTAAGCGTGGCTTTACCGTTTGTAGCAAAGGGGCATCAACGGAATGGGAAGGGCAAACTGATATGCCGTCAATCACATGCAAGATAACAGAGGGCATGTTGTAATTCCACCACCATGAAGCCGATTTGGGAGTTGTGTGGGTCTCAAGGATATTCGAAGAGGCAGAAACCAACAACTGGTTCCGATGGGTTCAAAGTCCACCCTCGCCGATCGCCTGGCAGGAAGTCCACCTCAGAAGCCAAAAGCCGAGAGCCCAAAGTGGGCGAAACCCCGGGCCCTATTCGACTTGTGGAACGCCAAAGTTGAAGAACGCTGTTACTAGTACCTATGGTGAGCATAGACAAATGGACAAATGAGTCTTTGTTCCTCTATGTGCGTATGTGTTCAGACCCAAGCAGACCAAGACTGGACATTTTGACCGAAGCTGACCCAAGCTCAAACTGCCAGCAGGTCCTTTTGTTCATCGCATGCCACCCGGGCAAAAACGGCCACTCCGTGATATGTTCTTCACCGGGTTCCGAGCTGATTGTGCTGAACCCTTGCCTATGTTGTATGTGGTTCAATGAATGCTTTCGTTGTGACGGAGGGGAACTGTCTTGCTTGGATTGCTTGTTCTGGGTGTAGTGAATCAACTGGGAGAGAAACCGACGTAGAACACACCAGCAACTCCCACTCGGGCCGGCAACACGGCCATTTGGTTTGACAAAGTGACGTGCACATCTGCCAAGAACACAGATCTGCTTGGCCCTTTGCTCACAGGTCTCGTCAAGCAGAATCTAGTTCCAACGCCAAGTCGCTGTTGCTGAAGCCTAGTCAGAATATGAGCAAATTGCGGGTTTCTCAGGCTGAGCAATCGACAGACTGCAAGCCGCAGCTTTGTTTGGATTGACCGTGCCATAGATCCTGCCCTTGCATTAACATAGCTCTAGCAGGTAACGTGATGATACCCTTGGAAGCGTGCTGGCCCTTTGCAATCTTCTTGATTAAGCAAAGGGCCTAAGCGCATCCTCCCTTTGTGGATCCCTATGCCATTGCTTTTAAGGTACCATACCACCCAACATGGAACCTGACAGGAGGTCACGCCCGCTTCCTCTTGAAGGGCCGTTGAGTGTGCTTTCAAATTGCCAACTGCAGCAGCCCTGCACATTGGACACAAACAGTACTTTGGCATCCTGTGTTGCATATACAGGGAGCATGCCTCAACCAGACATCTCCTGCAAAATTGAAACTCACAATGTGCATATATATATATATATAGAAATATACTTATGTATGTATTACGTATATGTCAGTGTATATCTACATTTATATTTATGTGTATGTGTACATATGTTTACCGTATGTATACCGTTTAAATAATATGTATATACATATATATATATACACCTATATGCACACATCGCCTTTGTGAATGACTTGTATACACTACTGGTCCCAACTGCGGTTCAACCTTGCGCATCCTGAGCTGCCGCGCCGGAACCATCTGCCGCACCTCCTTTCCCTCCGAAGTGAACTGCACGCACACGGAGCAAGGGCCTGCGAAAGGCCGGCCGTTCAGGCTCAAGCCTTCACTGTTAAAAGAATCATAAGAAAAAACCTCCCAAAGGATAACCCATTTGCCCAGACTCGAAAGGCGAAAGACATGGAACCCTGTTTTGTCACCGACTTACCGAACACAATAAAAAGAAGAACACGGATGCCACTGAACAACTGGGAGTAGAGCTCGCCTTAAGATGGAAGCAAGTCAAGGCCCGACCAAATCAACTGGAATCTTGGGATATTGTTGTACCACTACAGGAGATGTACGTTTGATTGGGTAGTTCTAGAATTGAAGATGGCGTTGGGCCATAAACCACCCTTAAAGACTAGGGGCTGCGAACATACTGTGTCACCAAAACACACACACACATGAGATACTGTAAGACTCGCGTGGCACCAGTACGGAAGTAGAGTATCATGACAGCAGCCCGACTGTGCCTCCCAATCATGCCTGGGAAGTTTTGCGAAGTGTAAACTAATTCCAAGAGACATGTTTGATACCCCTACAAGTGCTTCTAATCCCAGAAGGTTACTGTCCTGCAAGTAGAAGGCTTCCCTTGAGGAATACCGATAGCTTTGAAATGCTTTTAATACCTTGGGGCCTGTGTGACGAAGGCCTTGCACGGCACTAGAAGCACGTAAAAGGGCTTTTCTTGAAAGAAACAAGCAAGCGCAAAAACATAGCTTTCTTTTTTCTAGTTGCTTTGTCCCTGAGAAAGCAAACAAGAAACGGTCCAGGCCTTCCTCCGTTGGCAGCCCCCGCGAATGCACAGAGGACCACTGTGCATCCAGCTCGTGAATGATTCCTGAACGACTCAGGTTGTCGGAATCTCTGGACATGTGGCAAAATGAATAACAAACAAACTTGGGAAAATGTGGCAAAATGAAAAGCAAATCCACTTGGCATAATCTTGAGCGACTTGTTCAGGAAGATAAAATCAAACACGCAAATCCACCTAGAAACCCAGGCCTGAACCTCAACGCGCCAACCAAGCGGGAGAATATCTATAGAATGTCAAATAGCTGCAAACAATCTTGATCAAGTTCTTGTCATGCAGTTTCACTGTAGCCAACCCTTGGTCTTCATAAAAAAATGGTGTTTGCTTCAAAGAAGGACAATCAAAAGGTGGCACACAGTTGAGCTTCAATCCTTTATCATCTTGGTGCAGCCAAATGGGTTAAACACAACCATGTACCAACCGCGAATATGGGATCCCTAATATTGCCCCCGTATTCATAAACCCGTGGTTGGCTAGTGGGGGTGCCTGCATTTAGTGGGAACCCTGCACTTTTGTAAGTAAGACCTCCCCAATAGCAGGATGGGTTTAACAATCCGTGGTTCCCAGTATGAAAAATGCCTTCATAGCTGAGGTCGCAACCCTAAGGTTGAATGCACGTTGGCATTGCAGCCGAGGTGCGCACACCACTGACAACCTCGGGCAAGGTCGAAATGAAAACTGCTCGTAGTACAATGGTTGGTCATGGTTGGTCTCAAAATAGGGAACCCTGTATTTCCAGAAAATAATGTTGTTGGCACGAAAGGGTCTGTTGACCTCGAATTCGAAGTCTTTCCTCCTGGCGGCGATCTCTCAAAAAGACATTTAAGAAGGCAACCTAATTTGGGGCCCGGAATTTGGAGACGTGGGCCACTCGCATATCTGCATTGCACGTGGCCCAAGGCATGTGGCCATAATCGAAAGGTTCGGATCCTGGACTGAAACTGGATGCTGGAAGGCCGAGCGAGAAGGCGGGCTTTAGATCACTGAGGTACACATGTATCAAGGGAAAGTAGAAACACGTCGACCAATTGCATGCGACTCTCAGGCTGGATTCGAACTGTGTCATCCTAAAGGCCTTCTCCGAAGGCCAAGCCCCAAGTCTTCACTCTGAACCAAGCTGTGAATCGAGGTCGTGTCGGCGAATATACTCTGCATCCAACTGTTAGCTTGATGTTCGGACATCAATAACACATATCATTTCAGCTGCGCCGGACTTCAATCCAAACCTTAAGATAACGAAACTGTAGACCTTTCGACTGTCCCATCCTCGTTCAAACACCCTGCAATATGGATCTCCAACAATGAACACACCCTGGTTTCGTTTTGACTTCCTCGGTCTTTGTAATTTGTCGTTGTACGTTGTACCTGCTGAAGCAAGACGTAGAATCCAACATAAACTTCTTGATCAAGATACCTTCTCTGAAGTCTGGGCGCATACCAAAGCAGTGCTGACCTACGACTAATAAACTGTCCTGTTCCCCGGTTGCCAGCCAAAACTACTTTAAACGGTCCCACAAGGTTCTGCCAGCTGTTGGGGAAAAACTAATCCATGTTTGGCACTCATCAAAACGCCCCTCAATAAGCAGAGTTGTCCTGGCCCCCCATTTCTTTAGCTTTTCTGAAAGACGCATTAAAACGATTGCCAATACTTTTGCTGATCCTATTTCCCTCCAGTGGCCCTGCAACAATACAACCTGCTACAAATCCTAGACTCCAGCCCTGGCAACAAACAAATAAATTCCTGTTGCTTTCCTATTACTGGCCTATCAGCCAGACAGGGAGGACTGGAGAGGACCGAATGAACAGGAGGCTGTCCAGGGCGACGCTACAAAAAATCAAATACTAACCTCAAAAACACACAGACACAAACACACAGACACACATGCAGAGACAAACATACAGAGTCACACATACAGACACGTGCGCACAAACAAACAGAAACACATACACAAACACAAACACAAACACACAGACACAGACACAGACACAGACACAGACACAGACACAGACACAGACACAGACACAGACACAGACACAGACACAGACACAGACGCAGACGCAGACGCAGACGCAGACGCAGACACAGACACAGACACAGACACAGACACAGACACAGACACAGACACAGACACAGACACAGACACACACACACACACACACATCCATGCCCACGCCAACGGTCACGCACAAGGATACGGGGAAGCGCGTCGACGAGATTTGGGAT